GGACCCTGAAACTTGGCGAAAAGATAGCTTTTCATTATGATACCGGTATGTTGATAGGAGACTAATTAATCTTGTAATTGTTTATTTCCTGTATGTATACGCTAATTCAATGATGGATTTGTCTGTTTACTGTTCTTCAGCGTAACTAACAATTTCAGAGCAGTTTATCACCAATGTTACAATCTTTCAAAGCTGTAGTTTTGTAAATTAAATTAACGTGTTGAACTATTATGTAGTGTTTCGGTCTTAATTATAGGCTGGTCTGGTAATCCACTAAATGGTATGTGTGAAATCCAGTGTTTTTATGCCGTAACAAAGCCATTCGTCTCACTGAATAAAGAATATCTACTCATTGAGTGTTTGCGTAGAAAATAATGTAGTTGGAATCTGTGGAGGCAACTGTGTTAGATCTTATCAGATACTGTCAATAATATTGGCTGCTGTTTGTGATTTATCGAGATTTGTTTTGACATATGGATTGTCAGCAACTAGAAGCCTACTCATTTATACCTTTCTCGTTTTCTTAGAAATTTTAGTTCTTTCATTGTTGACTGTTATTAAGTTATTTCCAAACAACTTCAAATGGCAACAGTTGATGATGACGTCTACTTTCGAAGTGATCAAATTTTCAGAAACCATTCCAACGACTTACTTTTTAATACTGCAGTGATTATAAGCGTTTTGGTCATTTAACGATGTTTAATACTGATTGTAGAAACTACTTGTTGCTTTCTCATAATAGAAACCGGTAATTTGCAACATTTTATCCAGTTTGATCCATTAGCTATGAAAGGCTGTTTAATCTTAAAATTTTACATTTGATCTAGCTTTGAATTCTAACAGGTCACGTTTAATATTAAATGGAAATGGCTGCAAACACATGACGTTTTCTTTTATCTACATTACTTAAGCTAAAATAAAACTTTGATGTATCATACCTCATTACAAACTCACTGTTTATACCTTAAAACTGTTGATAATGTAAGGTAATATTTAGATATTAATGTATAACTCGGTAATTAGGTTATTTCAGAATGGTCAGTAATCAAATTTAGAAATCAAATTACTCAGTTGTCAAAAAGATCTGTTAGTAACGTTCCTATCGATCCTGCAGTAGCTAAACAATTTATAATCTAGTCCACTAGCGCTGTTTTGGTTGTGGATGCAAGGGCATGGAAACCAGATAAGATTTATTAAAATCTTATCAGAATTATGTTTAATCATCTTCCTCATACCACTATGTCTATGTTATAAATAGAAAGAAACACTAAACTGAAAAAGTTTTGGGAGTTCTGTTCAAGTCCATGTATGACTAATGCCTTATGGAATGGCCAACGCACTTGACCAGATTCTGTGTACTCTTCGACAGTGGTTTAGTGGTTAAAGCACTCCATCTTCTACTAATAAATCCCAGATTCGAGCACAAATTCATGTACATTAATTTGGGCAGCATTTGTTTGAAATATCTTGTGGTACCGGTTGTAACCATTCTGTATATACATTCATTTAAACTACTATATCTTTCGAATCCATATTATTGCAACTTTTGTAAATATTAGTGTCAAAGAGCACCTTTAGTTCGAACAATAAATTATTAAAAATATCTAAATGTTAAGGTCGAAGATTATGTCCAGAACGTCTTTGAGTACGAAGTTGTGACCAATCGAACCCGTTTTCCTGGTATACCTAACATTTCGAAAAAAAATCAAACTTTTACGGGAAACGAACTTGTCTTGCTTAAACACTTACATGATGGATCGTTTTTACATTTTTCGTGGTAGTTTTCAAACTACAGATGAGGCTTCGCTTAATTTGCACATGACAAAACATAATTTGGAAAAATCTCGGTTGTGTACTAACAAATGTCCCGATTCGTTAAACCCTATCGATTACATTGTATTAACTCGTATGATTCTATTTTTATGGGATATCATTGTACGGTTGTTATGGATTCGGCTGAGCCAGAGACTCTGAGTTTATATACTGTAATACTGTGTTTTTCATGATCGACACTACGTAAAATTCACCCGTTGCCAAACTGCTAATCAGAATCCTAGAAAAAGCATCGGTGTATTTCCTCCTTTTACCTCTTCCTACATACAAAATTTCTTGTCAGTTTATAAATATGAATTGAAATCGATAATCTTATTTATTAGTATAGGGTTGTGGAGATTATTGAGTTTATGAACTGATCAATATTAGACCACCATTGAATACATGGAATCTCGGAGTTCTAGTGAGAAACCGTGACCAGTGAATCTTATCTATATTCCGTTTCTAGTAAACTCATTGGATATTCAGTTCTTTCCAAATAACGCACCGATCAAGAATAATTTTTATATTTAGACGGCTTTCCCTATGACATGTAGTTTTACTTTCTCTTGGGTGTCATACCAAATCTTTCCCACTTAACGACGAACCTTCACGGGTTAAATCGTCTGCTGCAAAAGATATATTATTACAAACGCCGTATATACTGTTCGAATTTCCAACAATCGTAATTTATAGAATAATAGTTGAAATAACTTGTCAATTATTAAACCTTATTCGATTACGTTCTCATTTCTATATCTTTCTTCAAACGTCCATTAAATATTGTTTTTCTCCCTTTTTCTAACACTGACAGCGGAATCACCTCAGTTATCTGGTAAAGTAATTATTGCGATAGCAAACGAACAACGTGATAAGCTACTTTCAAGAAATGGTCAAGTCATTCTAACTTGTGATATAGCTGACGAATATAGTATTAAAGAAATAGATGGTAGAAAACCAATTAATTTACGTTCATTACAATTAGCTGTGAAAACTCAGTGTTCTTTACTTGGTTATCTTATCCCTGGTTTTATTCGTATTCCGTTGAGTTTGGTAACATACATTCTTCGTCGTCAATAGATTGAAAGTGGACAGATTAAAACACACGATTAACTATTTATACAGTAAACTTATTATTGCATATTTTCACTTCTACAGTGTCTAACAGTATTTTTTCCTAAATTGCGCTTAATATCATTACTTTTTTGGATGCTGTTTCACAATACATTTAAGGGTCAGAATAACTGGTTATTCTCACTGCTGTTAATTTTATTTCACAGTTTGAAATGTAAATGTTCTCACGAGGTATGTAAATATTATTGATCTAAGTGTTTCGTCGGTGATAAACCCAGTCAACTTATATTTTATTTAATGAGTAATTAAAGCATAACGTATTACGGTTTCATAAAGCGACCTATTAAAATTTATTTATTTATTATTTATTTCAACACAAATATTGGTACAAAGAGGCACCAAATACATATGTGCCACACAAATCTCATTCGATATGTGTGAGGGCTGTGATACTGCCCGGGTGCCCAAACTGAAGCAGGTGACTTGCACAGTGAATCAAAGAAATATCTTAAATTCATCGTGCGTATTGAATTCGTTGCTAATATTAATGTATCCGTCCCAATAAGTCCATAAACTCATCAAATACGACTGAATACATTAGAGCTCTTCATGATGATCCAATAAATATTCGAGGCATGTTTCAGTCTGTTACACAAAATGACTAAAATTTCTCAAACAATCGAAGTGTGAGATTCACTAAATCACCCATTGATGGGAAAAAAGGTAAAGATAAAATTAGTGTTTTCTTAAGGAAACATAAACTTTCCCTGAATAAAGGAAGCGTTATTTGAATATATATTTGAGATTATAAACAATTGGTTTGACGCATTCATCTTCTTTTTTCAATGATAAATAGCTTATTGTATCAACTTCCCCTTTACAATGAAGCTTCAGCACCAGTCTATATTTCCTATATTGATTTTCGTCGTTTGACCTTTAATATATCCTTTTCGCTTGACCCCTTATCCTTTTCATTCTTGTTTACTTCATAATACTTCGCCTGGACATTTATGGCTGGTGTTGTAAGTACATAGCATGACCCAGACAATTCATATTTTATAAAAACTTACTATGACAACCTAATGTAATGCTTGGAAATATGACAAATTTGTCAGTGTTGTGACTTGAGTTAAGTGATGGTTAGTGCTATTGGTACGTTTGTTTGCTATGACTGACTGATAACTGCTATCTGCCACTCATTAAAATGTGACGCAACTATCGGCCCAAGGAAGAAAACAGGACTGTAGGAGAAGACTGATTTATTCATCAATCACTAATTAAACGACATTCATAAAAACGATAATGACTGATATATCAATTCAAATGTTCGGCCAAATAGAGACTGGTTCCTAATATTAGCAACCGAAAAACTCAAACTTTCAGGTGCCCCCCCCCCTGAGAGGCTTCAGGGTTGTGTATTCTATTCTCGGTAAGGTTGTATATGTGTACTTCTGAGGAGTTGTATATAAGGATGGAAAAGTTATCAAGTTTTTCCTAGTTTCTAATTATTGTCTAATTGAAGTCAGTCAAGGATTAGATATACGAATTATTGAAACTGCACAAGAATTATTTAACACACCATCGAATGTATTTGGAAACTATTGCTTGCTTAAAGTAAAAGTTATACTACTCTAACGAATGATAAGACAAATTCCTCCTCTGTTAGTTTAATAGAAACTTTTTAAGTTACTTGTTTTTAACATTTTCCATCTATATTTTACATCGAAGACTGCCTCAAACTAGATAATCGTTGAAAATCAATTATTATTGGACAGATATTTGGTTCTAGTATAGTTCTCAGGAGTAAGTATTTACTATGCTTCTATGAACTGGAACCACGGCTACCTTTCAACTTTATGAGTAGTCTCAATCAAATGTTTCGCAATGGAGGATGATGTCTGTCTATCCTGTGATCTTATTTGACCATTGGAATTCATTTGTTTCTGCAGCCATTTTGGTGTGTGTTAATCCACCCTTAATTGCAAATCACAATTGCTCCTTTCTATGTACGTGTTTCCGCACATGCATATAAATTGATGGACACAATGGGACGTGACACAATCGCTTACGTGCTCTTTGGGCTTTTGGTAAAACATAGACCTTGTCTTTTCAATAATGACAAGTTGGGCTGCATATAGTAAACATTAACAATTTGGAAAGTAACATAATTTTCACATTGATCAATCAAGCAGAATTACTTAACGTACAACACGAACAGGAATGTACACAAGTTCCATAGAACAGCTAAGAAGGATATGTCAATAACTTAGACTTTACTGACACGACGAATAAACTGTTAAATCTCTTCACCAGTTGTTCTTGAAAATTAGTTTTAATTTCTAAAATCAATTATCTTTGATCCCTGTAAAGATGAGTTAAACTCTTCTTAAAATGTAACTCTGGTATAAACGTTAATAACAGATGTAACTGTTAACCTTATTATCAAATTTATGAAAAGAAAGATTCTACACTCTGTTTTAATTCAATATATGATACAGAAAGTAAACAATTTTGATTAACATTATTGAAACTTTTTCTTGTTTTATTTATTATTTTTTGCGAAACTTGATTATGTGATATATTAGCGCAAGAAATTTCGAACAATCTGATCACACATATACTTGTTGAGAACATTTATATGCACAAAAATGGTTGCAGAAACAAATGAATTCCAATGGTCGAATAAGATCACAGGATAGATAGACATCATCCTCCATTGCGAAACATTTGATTGAGACGGGTCATAAGGTTGATATCAAATCAGCATTTGTAGTGTTATACAAAAGCCTTCAAGGACGTATACTAAGGTTTATTGAAGCCTTGGCTATATGGAAATTGAAACCCCCTTTATGTGTTCAAAAACAATTTGTCCTTACACTTAACCTATCCTTTGTTATGGTTTACTCTTAACCTGTCTAGTTGACCTTTTAATTTTCAGATATAAATGTTCTTAACAAGTATATGTGTGATCATATTGTTTGAAATGTATTGCGCTAATATATTGTCACATAGTTCTGATAATCTTCGTCTTCTTATTACACTATTGGAATTTATGAAAGGGACTAATTGCTCTAAATTTAATTATGTAATGAACTTAGCAAACGTCAGGAATTTGATCTTAATGTTAATATTATGCTATCTTGATGTTACTTACTTACTTACACCTGTTACTCCTCGTGAAGGAGCATAGGCCACTCACCAGCACTCTCCATCCAACCCCGTCCTGGGCAATCCTTTCCAGCTCTTTCCAGTTGTTATTCATCCTTTTCATATCTGCTTCTATTTCCCGACGTATTATGTTCTTTGGCCCTCATCTTTTCCCCCTCACTTCAGGACTCCATGTTAGGGCTTGCCTCGTGATGCAGTCTGATGATTTGCGTAATGTATGTTTTATCCATTTCCATAATCTTTTCCTGATTTCCTCCTCAACTAGAAGCTGGTTTGTCTTTTCCCATAGTAGGTTGTTGCTGAGGGTTTCCGGCCAACGGACATTGAGTATCTTGCGTAGACAATTGTTTATAAATGTCTGTATCTTTTTGGTGATGGTTGTAGTTCTCCACGTTTCAAATCCATACAGTAGGACTGTCTTGATATACGTATTAAAGATTCTGACTTTAATATCAGTTAACAGTTGTTTTGAGTTTCATATGTTCTTCAACCGTAGGAATGTGGTTGTTACTTTGCTAGTCCTTTACATCCTCATTCGGTCCGCCTTTTCATCGATGATGCTTCCCAGGTACGTGAAAGATTCCACATCTTCCAGGGTTTCTCCATCAAGTGTAATTGGGTTGGTGTTCTCCGTATTGTATTTGGGACTGTTGTTTCTTCCCTTGTGTACGTTGAAACCTGCTGATGCAGAGGATTCTGCTACATCGGTTGTCTCGACCTGCAAAGTGAAATTTCCAACAGGACATATATTTACTGAACTTATGCTCATCTTTGTTTACTGCTCTGAAATTCTTTGTTGGATCACTTTTCATATTTCCACGAGAATAGGAACTACTATCATCACAACGACTAAGCAAAGTATTAGAGATTTTCATTGACTAAAAATCAAGTACATTCACTGCCTAGTATTCAAAACATGCTATTTTTATTCTTGGAGTGAACATTTTGGTTACTGAATTCATTCCCTCTCTAAATTCGGAATGCTTATACCGGCAATCAACCGATCACGAAGCTGATTTCTCGATTAGTCTTCGAAATTGCACTTCACGGTCTGTTTCTCTAGTTCAAATATAAACTCTTTAGCTTTCTGTTAATTTTGTCACGTCATTTTATGGGAATTCAGAGCTAGTATACTTCACATGACTAACTAGTAATCTCTTGAGGGATTCATATGGCAATTGAATTGGTTACTCTGGAAAAGCCAGAACTGTCTTGAAGTTCGTATTGAAGATTCTGACTTTGATATTGGTTGAAAGTTGTTTTGAGTTCCATATGTTCTTCAATTGTAGGAATGCGACCCTTGCTTTGCCGATCCTCGCCTTTACGTCTCCATCTGAACCTCCTTGTTCATCGATGATGCTTCCTAGGTATGTGAAGGACTCTACATCTTCCAGAGTTTCTCCATCAAGAGTGATTGGATTGCTGTTTTCCGCTTTGAATTTGAGGACCTTGGTTTTCCCTTTGTGTATACTGAGGCCTACTGATGCAGAGACTGCTGCTACACTGCCTGTCTTCATCTTCATCTGTTCATGTGTACGTGATAGGAGGGCTAGGTCATCTGCGAAGTCCAAATCGTCTAATTGATTCTGAGTTGTCCATTGTATTCCCTGTTTTCCTTCAGATGTCGAGGTCTTCATAATCCAGTCGACCACCAGAAGAAAGAGGAAGGGAGAGAGTAGACAGCCTTGTCTGACTCCGGTCCTTACTTGGAACGCATCTGTCAGCTGTCCTCCATGCACTACTTTTCACTGTAGTTCGTCGTATGCGTTCTGGATAATGTTGAGAATCTTCTTAGGAACTCCATAGTGTCGAAGAAGTTTCCATAATGTCCTCCTATC